ACGGAGCCGTTTTAGGTAGGCGTGGCTGACTCTTAACTTTTATAAAGAATATCTCTTTGGATTTAAGACTTTAGTCTGGAACTTTACAGATCTTCTTTATGCACCAAGAGCTTGTAACACTCCAAAGAGAAAGGAAAAATTATAACCGTATCATATGACCCCTTTAAGAACTGTAAGAAAAGTGATAGAATACAATTTTTTTTAATTTAAATTAACAAATTAAAGGCAGAAAAACAAATACTAGCATTATGTAAAACACTAAAGTACTTAAAATCTAAATATTTTTTATGCTTTTCTTAATTAAAAAAAGCACAGTCTTACTTAGTATTTTTGTCTTGTTTTCCACTACAAATAATTAAAAATTCTTAAATTCGAGATACATTAACTTAAATGTAAGTGTTTTTTTTTTTTTATTATCAAAATTATGTTAGTTTATGCTTAAAACAAGAAAAAATATCTGTCAGTGGGGTAAGAAAAATTATCTTGTTTTCCCTCAAAATTAAGTTTATTTATCTCACCCCACTGACAAATATTTTTTCTGTATTTTTTGAAAATATGCTGTCATAAAAATAATGTCATTTTCTTCTTCAGTTTTGTGCAGACCTGTTTCTAGTAGCTAAAGCATGTTTCCTGGTTTCCGAGGAAGTAGTTCCTCCATTCTGCAGCAGCAGGTCTGTATCTGAAGCCTGAACCAGCTTCTCTGTCCTATAGCATAAGGACGCTTGTTTAAGTGCACCAATCAGAGCGTTCTTCTGCACCACTTGACACACCAGAACCACCTGCAGGTTCTCCAGGCTGGACTGATTCATGAGCTGAAGGACAGAGACAGAAAGGTCAAACGATTAATCTACTGAACAAAAATAATGTGCCAAAATGTGCATAATAATTAAAAATCATCATGTGATTACCTGTAAAACGGCTTCATTAGATTGAAAGTTAAATTTGCCAATATGACTCTCATCAAGCTCCTGAACAGCGAGAGGCAGGCTGTTTGGGACAAACCTATAAAACAGGAAGTGAGATTTTTACACAATTAATACATTTAATACTTGTGTAATAACAGTGAGCAATAGTAATAGATATGCTAACCTTAAAAAACATTAATTACAGTATTTAGGCACTACATACCTCATACACACTACACTGCATTCAAATGATTGTTTTCAACAGATGCTGATAGTGTCTCAAGGTCGATATCAGTTCTGCAGACGTTTACCTGTCAGCATTCTGTTTGTCGTCCTGGAGGGCCGTGATGAACACAGGAAGTTGTTTTGGAATCTCTTTCTGCACAGCAAACTCAAACTGCACCGGCCGCAGGTACAAATGAACTTCATCAAAGCCCATCAGTCTGGCCACTGATTTATATAATCTAGAGCGACATGACAGAAAGCACAAGACATGCAGGTGAGAGTCTGATGACTTCAGCTGCTTTTTCAGTCGTCATTTTAAGGAAAGACCTAAGAGTAAATTGACTAATGAATATTTTAAAATCTTTTTTCCCAACTGAGGTTTATTAATGTTTTTATTGTTTATTTTGTTATTTATGTTTATTTAAATGTACAAAAGTAAAGGCAGCACATATATGCGTGTATATACTGTATAAATTACATTATATTTACATTTAATCATTTATCATTATATATATATATATATATATATATATGCATGCATGCACATACACTACCGGTCAAAAGTTTGGGATCAGAACGATTTTTAATGTTTTTTAAAGGAGTTTCTTATGCTCATCAAGGCTGCATTTATTTGATCAAAAATACAGGAAAAAATATAATATTGTGAAAATTATGATGTAATGTAACATTTTTCTATTTTAATATACATTAAAATCTAATTTATTCCTATGATGCAAAGCTGAATTTTCAGCATCATTACTCCAGTCTTCAGTGTCACATGATCTTCAGAAATCATTCTAATATGCTGATTTATTATCAGTGCTGGAAACTGATATAAATATGGAAACTGATATAAATCTTTTCTAACAATATAAATCTATGCTATCACTTCTTAACAATTTAACACATCCTTGCTGAATAAAAAGTTTTAATTTCTTTCAAAAAAAAAGAAAGAATACAAATTTACTGACCCCAAACTTTTGAGTTTTTTTAACACGTTTATATTGTTAGAAAATATTTCTATTTTAAATAAATGCTCTTCTTTTTTACCTTTTTATTCATCAAAGAATCCTGAAAAAAAGTATCACAGGTTCCCGGTGTTTTCGATCTGTGCAGCTCACACAGTTCAGCACAGGCCCGTTCAAGACCCTCGTACAGCCGCGACGCCAAACACAATGAGGGGTGAATCTCTAAAAAATACACACTCTTCAAAGCAGGCCTGCAATGAAAGTACAAGGAGGCAAATATACACTACTGGTCAAAAGTTTGTAAAGATTAAGATTTTAAAATTTTTTTTGGAAGAAGTCTCATTTGATGAAACATACAATAATATTGTGAAATATTATTACCATTTAAAATAACTGCTTTCAATTTGAATATATTGTAAAATGCAATTTATTCCTGTGATCAAAACTGAATTTTCAGCATCATTACTCCAGTCTTCAGTGTCACATGATCCTTCAGAAATCATTCTAATATGCTGATTTTTAATATTATCACCGCCATTCTACCATTCAAAAGTTTGGGGTAAGTAATTAATAATATTATTCAGGAAGGACGCATTAAATTGATCAAAAGTAGCAGTAAAGCCATTCATAACTTCACAAAAGATTTAAATAAACCTCTTCTTTTTAACTTTTTTTTATTCACTAAGGAAACTTAGAAAAATAGAAAAGAAAAAGAAAGCCTAAAAATTCTTAATTTCCACAAAAAATATTAAGCACCAAAAACTGTTTTAACACTGATAATAATAAGAACCATTATTAATAAATGAGTACCAATAATAATTGATAATAATAAAGCAGCAAATCAGCATATTAGAATTATTTCTGAAGGATCATGTGACACGGAAGACTAGAGTAATGATGTAATTTTTTTTTTCAAATTTGAACACATGACTTTGGCTTTGCTAACACCATGCTTCGCTTTAGTTGTTACAGGAATGACATGTATTGTGTGAATTTGAATTTAATTTGATGTTGCATTTAAGGTTTATTATTGTGAAATTTACCTGCTTCCACCGACTGATACCAGATGTTTAGGGATGTAATTTGGTGGCAGGCCGTATTCACTAGGACAACCATTCTGTCCCTCCCTCCATATTCTCTCCAGATATTGTCTCTGCTCATCAATCTAATGTTCAGAAAACATCCGAGAATAAAATAATGTGAAAGCTCAGGTGAGTTAAACATGATTAAAGAACAAATGCTCGGTTGCCTGATTGTTCAGCACTAGTTTGATGAGCTGTTGGTGGCTTTGGAGGCAGACAATCGTGTCCCTGTAAGCTTGAACAAAATATCCAGCAGTAAAATCCATCTGTGGCCTTCTGTGCATGATGTCTGTGATGACCTGAGCCAACCTGAACCATTCATCTGGATCTGTGACATGCTGATATGCCTCCAAATAGCAATTCAAGAGCTGCAAACACAAGACGGCATTTTATCACTGACATAAACTACTTTTCGAGTAATAGTACTGTTTCGGGTCAGTAATGTT